CACGTTTGGGGCCCGTCAATTGGCCGCCTAGATCATGTGATTTAACGCCGTTGGACTATTTCTTGTGGGGCCATGTTAAGGCTAATGTCTGCAGGGATAAACCAGCAACGATTGACGCACTGGAAGCTAATATTGAAGCATTTATTCGTGAGATCCCGGCCGATATGTTGGAGAGAGTGTGCCAAAATTGGACCTTGCGCATGAGCCATCTAAAGCGGTGCCGCGGCCAACATTCACATGAAATAATCTTTAAACATTAAATTATATCGACCGCTCTATCGACTCAAATAAAGATTTAATCGTTTTTTCAAATTTTTTGTGTTTTTTTTTTGAAAATCGAATCCTATACCTCTTAAAAAATCACCCGTTAGCTAACAATACGAGTCAGCGCCTAGATGTGAGGCACTGAAAGCATACTTTTCGTGTGATGCGTCATTGTTAACTTTTCTGTGATGTGGCTTAATTACACACAAGACGGGCGCCGCTGCTATTTCCCTTAATGAATTTCAGAGCTTTCGAAAACGCAGAAACCAGGGGAAATCTTGATTTATAACTTTTAACATAACCTCCCTTCGAAAACGACATCACAAATGACGCATATGGTTTGGCTAATAGATATACTTCATGATATCCATCAATAATAATTTTCTCACATAGCAAATATCACTGATTTTATACATATGAAGGCCAATACACACAATCATTCAGATGCGATCTTGATACTTTGCTACTGCATTGATTTTTTTCTGTCACATCTTCTCACATATACAGGGTGTTTCACTTTATTGTTGCATAACTTTAAGATTCGATAAAACCTTTAAGATTAATGCATAAAGTCTATATAAACATGGGTCGAAAAATGCGTGGCTTCCGAAATACAGGGTGTTTAAATTTACTTTCTAAAATAGTTTTTTAAATATTTTGAACAATATTTGATGTATAACAGTGAACATTGGTATACAAGGGTTTTTTGGTACGACGAAACGAACCATGGGCATAGCTTTACTGTAGCCGCTAGAGGGCGCTCTCTACTGTACCTGTAGTGTATTAAAATGACCTAAAATTTTTTCTTAGTGCAATTTTTTGCTTTTTGAATAAAAAACTGATTCCTCGCACTCTTCAACATAAAAAAGCTGTCTTGTGAATTTTCGTTATAGTTAGCCGTTTTTGAGATATTTCGATTTTTATGGTTCGATGCATTTTTATTTATTTATGATAAAATAACGTTAAAAAGTCAGTATCTCGATAATTTTTAGAAGTAGGCTGTGCCTGCAAATATTTCTGAAATTGAAAGCAGAATAAGGTTAGACGTCAATTAGTTGACAGTTAGTTTTGTTGTCTGTTGAAACCTGAAACGTTTTTTTGCAATTGTGTATGCATGAAATTTAGTTTCTTTTACCTGTTTTTTTTGTAAGTTTTATAAAAAATTATTTTAAAAGTTCTATCGAACCTTAAAGTTATGCAACAATAAACTGAAAAATAATATACAGACCACCTGGGCATTCTGCAACCAACGAAGCATGCTGGCGAGCTGGCGAACTGGCTGGTCGTTCAGTCATTAATTCATAGGTGACGCCTCATAGCGAGCGAGTTATGTAGGTTTCTACGTAATCACCCTGCCGGTCTGGATGGTGGTTGCTTAAGCAGTATTCAATTATTACCTGTTTCCGGCAGTATGCTCTAATTGGATCGAACATAGCAACTCTGCTTGACTACGCTCGGTAGCGACAAGCATAACTTGGGGATTCCCCAAAACAGTTGATATCGCTTCCTCGCTATTAGACAGCGTTTTAGTGTCACGTTGGACAGAATCGAGCTAGATGCAGGTATTCTCGCTTGCACTATTCTCCTGTTTTGGTGTCATATTACAGTTGGATGCCGAAACGGAAGACACTAGACAGATGCGATGAATGTGCGGCCGCCTATACCTGGCAGAAGCGTGAACTCTGGAAAATTTAAAAGTATAATGTGTTCCAATGTCAACGTAAGCATAAGAGGCAAGGGGTTTACTTTTGCTGACAATGGGGAGCGGTGGAAGGTTTCCGCTTAACTTTGCTGAGAGGGGCGAGGGGGAGGCGTTATGTATTAACCAAACAAATTCGTGCGGTTGCTGTATATCACTCATTGCCATGGATGTTGTTGCTCGATAGCGATTGTTTGTTACCTGTTGTCACTTTAGTATGAATCCTTCTGTTCTCACACACAAAAAAAATTGCCGAAAATTGTTACATGCCTAGTATTGATAATTGAAAATGGCGACGAATAAGACACTAACTCGAAGTTGTTTACTGTATGAGTACAAACTTGGTACAAAAGCTGCAGCAGCGGCCGCGAAAAATATGTAACGCATTCAGAGATGATGCTGTTAGTGATCGAACAGCACAGAAGTGGTTCCAAAAATTGTCTTCGGGACATCTCAGTTTGAGCGATAAACCGCGCTCAGGGAGACCAAAATTCATGAACAACGAGGATCTTCGACAGGTTGTGGAGGCAAATTCGACGACAACGTACCAAGAATGCAGAAATGTTCAGAGGGAGTCCTGAAACTCTTCATTTGCTCTTCATCAGCTAGGAAAGACTTGGAAGTTAAGCAAATGGGTCCCGAATGAACTGACAAATGATAGCAAATTAAGTCGTCTTACCATTTGTGCAGCAAACATTTCACGCAACGCTAATAAACCAATTCTTAATCAGTTCTTAAACTGCAACGAAAAATGGATCTTGTATTCGAATTCTAAGCGTTCGTATCATTGGTTGTCGCCTACTGATTCGGTACCACGCACGCCCAAGGCTTTCTTGCACCCAAACAAGGTGTTGCTGTGTGTTTGGTGAACAAAAACTGGAATTGTCCATTATGGGTTTTTGGAAAGGGGTCCAACCATCACTGCTAACTTGTATTGTGAGCAGCTTTAACGAGTACAAATAGCACTCATCCAGAAACAGCCTTCTTTGATCAATCGGAAGAAAGTGTTCTTACATACTGCAAAAGCGACCCGAGGAAAAATTTCTAAACTCGGCTGGGAAACGTTACCGCACCCGCCATATTCTCCCGACATTCCGTCCAGTGATTATCACATTTTTTGTCTCCTGAAAACTGTATGAGGCACCGACAGTTCACAACTCGAGGTGGTGTAATAAATGCAGTCCGCCAATTTTTTGACTCCAAATACAGGTAGTTCTACAATACCGGCATACAAAAATATATTCCACGTTGGCAAAAGATCATTGAATATGATGGTAATACTGATCAACAGCCAAAAAATATCCTAAATAAAATCATCAAAATATTACTATTTCTAATGTGCTAAAACCGAAATGAAACTTATTTTCTCAATATTAGTTCAAGTTTTAGAGATACGGTAATTATATGTGTTCCTGCTGTGACAGTGTTAATTTTAATATACTGTAATTCACAAGAATGCACGTGCTACATTTTTATATTCGGCAAGGAAAGATGATGTAATCGGCATGATTGTGTTACGTTATACATACGTGTACATTATATTGTTTTATATTAGCCATTTTTTCCTCAGTTGGCTGACAGCGTTCATGCAAGATGTCTCGAAAGTGTGTAAACAATCCAGATCAGTTTTGTTACGTGTGTGGTGATGTAACTTTTGCGTCTCAGAGACGGTCTATTACTCCACTAATAACAAAGGCATATCAGCTTTATTTCGGTTGTAAACTAGGTGATCAAGACAAACAGTGGGCACCCCACATCTGCTGTAATACATGTGCTTCAAGTCTGAGGAGCTGGTTAAATGGCAAAAAACGGTCTATGCGCTTTGCTGTCCCAATGGTTTGGAGATAGCCTACAAATTATATTAATGATTGTTACTTTTGCATGGTACCTTGTGTTGGACAAGCCACAGGTATGTCCAAGAAAAAAAATCGGTTATTAACTACCCAAACATACCATCTGCGATGAGACCTGTGCCTCACAGTGACGAAAATCCTATTCCAAAACCCCCAGAATCCTACACTTGCGAATCAGAAAACGAATCAGATCATGGCGATCGAGTGATTCGTCAGGAAAAAGATATGCCATCAACGTCAAGAGATCCTGATTTTATACCGAGCACGTCATGCCACCAACCGCACAAAATAACACAGTCAGAATTAAATGGTCTTGTAAGAGATTTAGAACTTCCAAAATGTAACGCAGAGTTACTTGGATCAAGACTGCAGCAGTGGAACTTGTTAGAAGACGATGTTTCGGTATGTGTTTTTGTAAACGCCACAAAGAATTTTTCAATATGGAGAATAACTTGGTTTTCTGCAGTAACATTAACGGCTTACTGGCGGCTTTAAATATAAACTATAACCCAGAAGAATGGAGATTGTTTATAGACAGTTTAACATTGAGTTTAAAGGCAGTGTTATTGCATATTGGAAATATTTTAGCATCTCTTCCTGTAGGGTATGCAGTTCACATGAAAGAATCATATGACAATATGAAGTACCTACTGACATCATAAAATACGATGAGCACCAATGGCATATTTGTGGCGATTTGAAAGTTGTTGGACTTTTACTTGGGCTGCAGCTAGGCTACACAAAGTTTTGCTGTTTTTTGTGTGAATGGGGCAGTCGGGCAAAGGCACTTCATTACACCAGACAAAACTGGCCTGTTCGTCAATTCCTAGAGCCAGGTCAAAAAAATGTACCATTAGTAGATTCGAAAAAAATTTTATTACCACCACTGCATATCAAGTTGGGCCTAATGAAAAACTTTGTCAAGGCATTAGATAGAGATGGGTCAGCTTTTCAATACTTGCGTCAGAAATTTCCAAGACTAAGTGAGGTAAAGGTTAAAGAAGGTATTTTTGTTGGGCCACAGATTCGAAATATTTTGAAAGATACACAGTTTGAAAACACTTTAACAGGTATTGAAAAAACTGCTTGGAATGATTTCCGTCTGGTGGTCACTAATTTCTTGGGAAGTAGAAAAGCTGACAACTATAAGACCCTTGTCAAAAATATGCTGTCATCGTATCAAAAGATGGACTGTAATATGTCTCTTGGACCTCGGTTGGCCGCGTGGGTCAGAGTGTCGTGCTACTGATCAGCCGGTCGGCCGGGCCGCGAGTTCGAATCTCGCCTTGGCCATGGATGTTGTGACGTCGTGTGTTTGTCCATAAATTAGAAATGTAAAATATAACAACCTAGTTTCTGGCTGCATGGATTAGGTCCTAAAGCCAAAAAAAAAAAAACAAAAAAAAAAAAAAAAAAAAAAAAAAAATATGTCTCTTAAGATACATTTCCTACACTCACACCTGGACTTTTCCTGACAATTGCGGAGCCGTCAGTGATGAGCACGGCGAACGTTTTCATCAGGATATTTCAACAATGGAAAAAAGGTACCAGGGAAAGTGGAATCCTTCCATGCTTGCAGACTACTGTTGGACTCTTGGTAGAGATGCTCCAGAAACGATCCATAAAATAACAGCAAAAAGACAGCGCATATAGTGATTCTTATAAGTATATGAATCTTGTTACTTTTTTTAATATATCCTTAAAAATAAAAAGTTTTTTTTTCTAAACCGCAACTAATTTTTTTATTTCATTGTCATTTTTGGATTCAGCGCCCCAAAATTAACAAAGAAGTGCACTTTTCCCACAAGATACAATTAAAAAACTAAAATTTCTTGTCCAGTGAATTACTTCGACGAATAAATAGTGTCTTATTGTTTCCCAATAAAAGTTTATATTTTTCTACTTAAAACCGCACGAACTTATCAGGTTACCTGGTATTTACGAAAATTCCGCTAACGTGCGTCTTGGGCTAAGACTGGGACAGGTGGTAATATACAGTGACTACAAAATGTTTCAGTCTTGCCACTCATCAAACTGGAACTGTTGCACAACTAGTATCTATTTCGTTGCGAATACTGGCATACTGAAACAATAACTAAACTTAAAAATCAGTTAGGAAGGCACTAGTTGTTATTGTAAAATGCTATCTTACTTTTTGTTCACGTAGTTTATTAAAAGCGACATGTCCGACCCTGTCTAAAACGTATGCGTATGGTTGGATAAACTAATTGGTAGTCACGTCTATTTTCTGATTGGTAGTTAGAAAAGCCTGTTATCGGGGTAAATAAAAAAATGCTATTGTTTAATTGCGGAACACTCAAAAATGCTGGCCCTCTGTTTTTGGAACGGATCCGAGCAAAAAAATAACACACGCAATGCTGGTAGCCAGTTAAACGGTTCTGTCAACATTGTACAATTTTTTGCTATATGCTATTTTTAGAGCTTCTATTCTGCCTGCTCTGCTCGTCCACCCATTTTATGAGCTTAGCACATATTATATTGCAACCCATTTTTGAATATCACCATGATGTATTGAATGAATTTTAAATTCCACGAAATTCTATAGAATTTTGGTGTTAGCTGGACATTCTTAAAGTTGACTGCCCCTGACTTCAATGGGTAAGTCTCAGGAGCTTCTATCTTGAATTGGTAACTATTGCATGTTCGGACCTTGCGAATAAAGGCCGGGCAACAATAGCAAATCGACCTCCGCACCAATTCGGCTGATTTCCACCCTAAAGTGGGCTCTCAAAATAACATTGGGGCTTGCCCAACATCGCATGCGATCTAAATATGGTGTTCCAAAACCTACATACGAGATTTTTCCTATAAGATATAACGGTAAAGTTTATTTGAAAATTGAAAAAATACCTTATACTCGTGGGAAAAGAGTCATTTTTCAATGATACATATATTCCTTGTACGTGCCTATACAAAATATGTGGGTCCCAGAACGTTCTGCGTGGTAACTCATACATATACTAAGTGACATATAAATCCGAACACCCAGTTTAAATGGTTTTATTTTAATAAAATTTTGTATAAATACTTAATGAAGCATAATAATGTAAATGATTGCACTGCTTTAACGCCCTTTGACCTTTAATAATGTGTGGATGCACCCTGATGTGCGCCTAGGCATGCTTCTGATCAGGTGGTCAATGTCCTCCTGTGGTATCTCATTCCAGGCAACCACCAACTCCTCTCGAAGTGCTTCTAGAGTCTGAGGAGGACGTTGCAAATTGAGCAATCTCCTACCCATCATATCCCACACGTGCTCAACTGGGGATAAGTCGAGAGATCTTGGTAGCCATGGTAACAATGTGACATCATTATGTTGAAAGAAGTCTATTGTGACTCTTGCAACATGTGGTCGGGCATTATCTTGTTGGAAAGTTGGATCTGCCAGGGTGTCAAGATAGGGTAAAAGATGGGGTTCTAGAACTTCGTGGATATAACGCTGCGCGTTCATGTTACCTCTGATGAAGATTAAAGGTGACCTGGAACCATAAGCTATAGCACCCCAAACCAAAACTCCAACAGTGTGATGAACATGTCGTTCAACAAAAAACTGTGGATTCCTCCTTTCACCACGTCGCCTTCTAACCCTGGCACGACCATCGTGCATGCCTAAACAAAATCGAGACTCGTCACTAAAGACAATACTGTTCCATTCCTGATCCCAGAGTGACCGTTGTCTGCACCACTCAAGGCGATTACGTCGGTGTTCTCGAGTTAAAGGGAGGACCTAGTGTGGCCGGTATGAAAACAAGCCAAAACTTCTCATTCGTCGGTAAACACTTCGCATGCCAATAGGTCTTCCGTGTTCTGCAAACCATTAATTTGCAATTGGACCTGGTAGTGGAGAAACAGTCCCTTAAGGCCAATAATCTTAGGCGGCGGACTTCACGGTCTGTTGTTCTACGGCGGCGTCCAGTGCCCCTTGCTCTTTGCGTACGGCCTTCCCGAAGCCATTCCTGACTACACCTAACCACAGTGTCTACACTTCTTTGCACTCTAACTGCAATTGCCCGAAAAGAAAGTCCAGCTTCCCGAAGTCCCACTATACGGCCCCTATCAAACTCACTAAGTTGACGAAATCGTACAGGTCTCCGTACTCTGGGCACCGTAACCGATCGTAAAGGATGTCGAGAACCAAAATCCGCCAACGTTGATTCTTTACTGCGGCTGAAATATTCATTTTTAGAGCGTTAGTGAATTAAAAAAAAGCAGTATAAAAACCGGAATGTCCAACTGATAAGGCTGAAAATTTTTTCACTTGTTATTTACAGTAAGATAAATACATTCACCAACTTTTATTAAAATAAAACCATTTAAACTAGGTGTTCGGATTTATATGTCACTTAGTATATTTATATACCCGGGTGCTATAAATTCCATCTCACCATTGGGATCTCGAAAACGGTAAGATTTAAGTGGTCGCTTAAATGGAAGCAAGGTTGCGTATTTGAGTAACTAACAAAATGCTGTTTAGAGACTTTCGAAATCCAAAGTACTTCCGAGAGATACAGAAAAAACTAATTTTCCTAAAACCGCATTAATTTTTTTCTGGCCTTATTTGTGGTAGGATTTCCGAATAGGTTGAACACTAACGTTGCCACTTTTTTTTAATTACCAGATGGCATAATTAGGCTTAATATGACGATTTCCTTTTTGTCCTCCAGCTTCAACTTTCTTATAGACGCTATAAACAGACGAGCAGAGACTACAGTTCTGACCCTAAGAATTTATAATATGTCATACATTGGCATTGTCAAATTGTAGTTATTTCAGAAAAACAGAAAAAAAATTCTCAGATATAATAATAATAATAATAATAATAATAATAATAATAAAATGTCTTTATTAGGCACATTATAAAAACTACAATATAATGTGACCTCTACGTAGGCGAAGTCTAGCTCTTGGATACTCTACTCAACCTACCCAAATAATAAATTGAAACACTTAATCAAAGGAAACTTTGACACGCAGCTAAAGACGCTTCAAAACAAACGAACTTGATCGCTGGCTGACATAAATTTGTTATTTGTAAATCTGTTTACTGGCCAATCCTTTATATTGTCATCTAATTCGTTATAAATCAGGATAGCATTATAAGTGTATGAACTACGCAATAAAGTTGTTTTGTACATAGGGATCTCGAGCCTTCTTTTGTGTCTGAAATCAATGTCTGAATTAATTCGTCTGAGAACAAGTTTCTCATAAAGATACAAGGAGGAGCGAGAAGATATGATCTTATGTGTAAAGACTGCTATATGGTACTTGCATGCATTTTCTATACACATCCAACCAAGCTGAAATCTCTTTAAGGAAACATGATCATACTTTTTGAGATGAAATACAAATCGACAACAAGTATTTTGGAGCTTTTGGAGTCTTCCTTTTGTGATAGAATCAAGACAATGGTGGAACACAGTGCTACAGTAAAATAAGCTAGGAAATATAATAGCCTCACATAGCTTTTTTCTAAGTTTAAAATTCAAAATAGAACGATTGACATAGAACCACTTCAAAGTTGCATAACATTTTTTTGAGATAGACGAAACATGCTCCTTAAACCGTAAAGTATAATCAATAATCAACCCTAAATTTTTTGTAGTATTTACGACGGCTAGACGCTCCCTATCGATTTTGACATCAAGAGAATTCAATATAGTGTTACGTTTGACAGCAGGACAGAAAAGCATCACTGAGCACTTATCCTTATATAGCTTAAGATTGTTACCATTTGAGTATCCTACTATTGCCTCCAAATCATCATTAAGCTCATTGATTGAAGTATGTAAAGTGTTACTATTAAAGCTCTTATATATCTGTGTATCATCGGCATAGCACATCATAGAAGAGTTTTTCACAGAGCCACCCAAGTCTATAGTATAAACAAGTACAACAAAGGCCCTAAAACTGAACCCTGAGGCATCTGAAGCAGCTCCCTTATCAAGCGAAGCAATGATGTTATCTAAAACCCTTGCTAAAGCTGTAGTTGTATTAAAACCACTGCGGAAACCAGATTGACACTTGGGAAAGAAATCATTATTAGAGAAATAATGATAGACCTGATGTTTAATCAATTTCTCCAATATCTTCGATATAACAGGAATCAAAGTTATAGGTCTTAAGTCTGAGAGACATTTTGGATTTTTACATTTAGGCAAGGGCTTGACAAGAGATAGTTTCCAAGCATCAGGGAAATACCCGCCCTCCAGGCATATCAGAGTCACTTGTCTTGTAATCACTGTATTAATATGTATCTCGTACACATCCTACTTGGAGTGTTTCTTATATATTGTCGGTGAATCCGCAAAACCTCGTATAGGAGCAACGTATAATTTAACAGAGTGAAGAAATAATTGGCTCATATCTTTACTTTCAGATATTCCATGAATACAGTATTATAAATGAGAATAAAATTAGTTCCTATTTAATGATATATGTTATTTTCCTTCAAGCTTTTCAATTTATAAAATGTATATCTCATACGTGGTTTCGATTTGCTGGATCAGCCAATTTTTTGTTATCCGAGATTATGAACTCGGGTTATAACATAACATAATGCTTAGAGGGATTGAACGTTTATTACATAAAAGTACTATAACGAAATAGCTTAAAACTATGAGTCCATTAATTATGTGGACTCAAAGCCCGTTTTGTCTTTAGGATTTGTAGATGTTTATACTTGTCGGCCTTAATTTTAAGTCTTTCAGTGTACTGATTGGTGATTGTGAAGATATCTGATAAATTTTTCCTTTTAGTGTAATGACTCCAATCATCAGAATGAGTAAGTTGGTAAAGGATCTACCCCTTAGGCTCATATTTAAGAGAATGGATATCTGAAACAGTCGGGTCTCCTACTTTGTAACCTGGCCTGATGTTGGTTTAATATCTAATATTAGTCAGATTTTGGAAATCAGTGTAAAATAAATACTTCACAATAAATCGTTTGGTTGGTAGGGCTTCTCTGCACATGTGAATGTAATCTGTTGGCAGGTATATATCTTTATTTTTCAGCTTTCTTTTTATAAGGCTGTCGGCACTGTCCACCTCCACTTGAGTATGGCCTTTCGCAAGAAAGTTTTGAATAATAGTCACGTTTTTTTTCATTGCCAGATGTAACAGGGCATTCGACAAAACAGCATTACGGTTTTGATATCCACAACCGTCGCTTATACAATTCTTTCTAGTCTGGGATGCTCCTCAATCTGGGTTTCTAGAAACTTGTATAAAATAGATGCTGTATTAGCTTATAGTTATGTAAACATAGCTTTTCTGAAATATATGGTTGTGCACATTAAAACTGGAGCTACTTTTACTGCTTGCATATCTACGAGCCCCTTCCCACTTCAGTTGGCCCACTTCAAGGTTTGTACCCCTTATAAACTAAACATGACGAAACTATTTACTTCTAAAACAATTTATTTTCTCAATAACATTTTAGATACACTCTAGTGGTGAAAAATCCATATTTGCAACCACTTAAACCTATAACTAATAGAACATCTGAACAAATAAACAATGTGCGAATAAATGCGCGAAGTTAACAAAGCAACAATTGAAAGATTACCATTGGGTAACATCACCTTTATTTTTTATTACGGCTGAAATTCTTTGGGGCGTAGTGTTAGCCAGGTTTTGGCTATAATTTGGTGTAAAACAATCCCATATTTCTTGAAGCTTTTGTCTCAGTTCGGTGATTGTACGAGCAGGATGTTGTCGTAGAACCGTTTTCATCTCGTGCCACAAAGTTTCAATACATGACAGATCTGGACTCCTAGAAACCCATTTCAAAAGTGGTACATTATTTTATTCCATCGATTTTATAGCCTTTTTTGAGGTATGGCACGCTGCACCATCTTGCTGAAAGACAAAATCTTGGCCGGATGTCAAACATTTTTCCATCACTGGTAAAAGCGATTCTTCTAAAATTGCCAAATATTTGTTTGTATCCACATTTCCATCTATAAAATGAAGTTTTCCTACTATTTTTGATGACATACTGCCCCAGACCATAATGGATGCTGGAAATTTCACTTTTCTCTTCAGACAGTCAACATGGAATGCTTATTTTTTTTGTGAATAACTCTACTGTGACTGTCACCAACACAAACTTCGAATCGGGCCTTATCACTCCATTGTATTGCACACCATTGTTGAGGTGTCCATTGTCTATGTTCTTTAGCCCATCTAAGCCGATTTTTCTTTTGCAGTGGAGTTAATAGTGGCTTTTATTTGGCCTATACCCAAGTTGTGCAACTTAAGGGTTTTTACTTCACTTTTTTTTATAAGAAAGCTTACCTTGCAAGTGCTAAATCCCAGTTTGTGTTGTGTTGTGAGTTGTGGACCTCGAAATTCTCCTTCCAACAGCGTCACTCTACAGAACACTTAATTGTAAATAATTGGCACGCCTGTTTTTCACGATTATTCTAACCTTAACTACCCAAAACTACTTTAAACGTATTCTGACAGCTGTGATTAATAAAAACAAGCCACCTATGCGTTATAGACTTACTTTGCATTGAAATGAAAATGGGTTGATATGCTGTAATTGTAACATATGTTATTTTTATGCTGCAAATTTGATTAGGTAGTGATAAAGTTGGTGTTTTCTACTATATATTATCAAAATATTCATTGTTGATATTTTAAACCTATAAAACTCTGCTAAATTTTTATTATCTGTGTTTGATGAGAAAAAAACTAAGATTTCAATTGTTGGGCCAACTGAAGTGGGAAGGGGCTCGTACTGTGAGGACTAAAACCTTTTAGGGGTTTGCAATAGCAGTTTCTTCAGCTGCACTTTTTTGCTCTCTGGCCTCATTTTTTTGTCTTTGATGCAGCTGATATTCCTGCTGTTCAATGTGACCATGCTGGTATGACATACACAGGTCACACTGATCCTTCTTTGGTCTGAAAAAGGCGATATTCTGGCGATCCATTTCACGTACAAAGTCATTGCGAGACAGCGGTTCAACATTATTCTCTTCAGAATATCTTTGAAGTTGTCTATATATGTCATTCTTAGTCTGGAATAAGGGCTACAATAATATAATTTGCGGGATGACGAACGGCAATAATGACTGGGTAGCTTAGAAATGTCTTCTAGGAGCTTTGTCAAGAGCAGTTTTCGTTCTTTCATTGTCTGTGTTAGCCTTACGCGAGAAATAGACAGAGCATCACCCTCATTGCAATGCATTCCACTGTTTTGCTCAGCGGAGAGACACCAATTTCTTATAGACAATTCGTTGAGTCCTAAAGTTGTCAGAAACATTTTCTTGCAAACAGCGAATTTTTGTAAATCTTTTTTCAGGAAGTAAAATGAAGAAACGGATTTTCTTGAATTTTCTTTTTGTTTTCTACTGGATTTAACATCAACCAAGGCATTGACATATGATTTTCTGCTATTCCAGGAGGTCATTTCAGTCCAGAAGGTATTAAGTATGCTTTTTCGATCATTTTCGGTAAACTCTTGACAAAGCCTCTTTCTTATTGCACATGTGTTGGATTCACATATTGCACCAAGTTTTCTAGCCCTCCCAGGTTTCTCATAACAATACTTTCCATCTGCTTTTTTCAAGCCTTCATATTCTTCGCCGAGCAAGCGTCATCTTTTTCCTTTCAGTCTCTTGTTTCTTGTTCTACCGTTTTCTTGCTTCTTGCGTATTTTCTCCAATAGGGATTACTCTCGACATCTTCCTCGTCAATGGTTTGTTCAGATTCTCGAATATATTCGATCTCTCCATATCCTGCCGATTCATTTTCTACGTCTCTTTTAATATCGAAATCTGGATCATTGTGAAGATGCAACGAATTGTCCAGAGCAATTTCCAAGCTCTTCTGGACCGTGTCATTGACATTAGTTACTGGTAAAAGCTCAGTCAAGGTCGGTTCATGGTGCACCATACTTTGTCTTTCTTCATATGTAATTTTTTCACCAAAAGCAGCTTCAGTACTCTCCCTAACGTTATTCTGTTCACTTCCTGGCATAATATCGATATTTTCATTTCCACGGTAGTGGTCGTCAGCAATTTCTGTTTGAATATCGGAATTTAGAACACCAACAATGCCACTAGACAGAGTACTACCAGTCACACTTATCAGGTTATAATGCTCCATTTAATCGGCATTGTTTACTTGTAGAAAATCAGCTAAACTTGCACCAAAAATAGTCTGTGTTAGGTGTAGGGACTCTTGATCTCCTAGAACCATGAGCGACAGGTTTTGACCACTGTACACATTTTCTGAACATCAGGATTCTCCTGTGCGAGCTTCAATATTAAGAGGCTTCTAGCTAATGCAATTTTCCTATAAAAAGAGATACCCGAATTATGTATTGTTCACAGTCAATTAGAAAGAAAATATATCCTCAAGCTGGAATTTAGATGCTGATGAGCAAAAACGCGTAAGGGATACTCCTTGACCGAACAAAACCACGTATCGGAAAATAATTTTTTAGCGAGTGTTATTATATTATTATTTTACAATAAATTTACTTATCTCTAAGTAACGTTATCAGTCTCGTCTGAAGATTTAAAACCGGGTACTGACAACGCAAAGTACAATTTATTATACAGGGTGACTTTGAAGTTGAGTCATTAATTTTCAGATAATGATTGTAGAAGGAAGATAAACCAAAATATGTGTGTAAAAATAAAAAAAAATTAAAAAAATTTTTTTACCTTGTTTTATAAAGTATCCTCCCGACAAGTATTTCAGTGCGGACCTGTATTTGATCGTGAGGTTTCCTGTGAGGTCTTAAGTCACCTGATTCACGAGCCCGTTGTACTACATTAACAAAGGCACGAGGGGTTGGTTGCACTCGATTGGGAAACCGATCCGCATTAACATGTGCCATTTTTTATTTCGTTTGAGCCACGCAACAGACACTATTCACACGCCTTACCGACTGGCACTGACTGTATGTATAACTGAACTGAATAAAATAATTGCAAAAACGTTGTTGCCAAACACGAGCACATGATATTATTATTGAGACAGGGCGGTACTCAAGCTTCCAAAGGGCTATAACTTTGTTACTTTAATTTTACCAGAAAAATGGTAAGGGAAAAAAACATTTCTTTTGATCAGATCTACTCACTGTTAAAATAAATGACTCAACTTCGAAGTCACCCTGTATACCGCGTTCTCATGCCACACACCGCAAACAGTTTATGTTTATAGGCTCATACCCGTTTTTAAACGCGTTCGCCTAATAGGTGGTTTTGATTATTGCACTTATATCCGAAATTACTTTGTTTCCGAATACGAGGTTTTATCATTATGTTGGTTGACATATAAGCATTTGAACTGCATTAAAAGCAAAATTTGAAAAAAATTCTCATACGGGGATTTGCGGATTCACCCACGATATTTTATTTCCGCACAAGTGTTACGTATCTGAAAAATGACATTTTGTCGTTTTTTGACATTTCCTAGGTTTTTTGTGACATAAAGTAGGTTTGTCTGTGGCGGATGGTGCAAAGTAGTCTCCTCCCCACCAGTTGACCTTCTTCGTGTTTCGTTTCGCTACCTTCTTCTATCCACACAGAACACACACGCGTTACCGTCATTGCAGTGAATTTAACACGGCGGCCAATTTCGGGATAGGACAAACCAACATCTCGGTAGGCAACCATTGGAAGCCTGTCAAAGTCGCTAACATGGTGATAATTTGGACGTCTTCGAATTCGAGGCATTTTGTTATGCTTAACACTTGTAAATGTACGGGCTATTCCAAAAAATATCTTTACTACTCAGCTCTCAGAAACTGCTTTCTTCACCAAAACTTAGAGATAACATTTTAACAATGGTAAACAAAAACAAAGATAAAACGTTGACATCTTTGCCACTGCATGCTTTATACAGTCATGATGTTGAAGAAATATTTTTTTCTGAGTGTAACACTTTTTATGTCATTGACTATACTGACATACTGCGATACACCCTCACTCACCGCTCTGCAACCCCCACTTCCCAATCTTGCAACCCCAAAAGTAATCGGGATCATCTCCAACGTCAAAGAAAGGAAGTTTGTGCGATTTTTATTTTTTTTTTCGTTTTTTCGGAATTTTTCTTTGTTTCCACTGGACAGAAACTAATCTTCAAGGTCATAGACAATGTCAGTATCAAGCACATCATCAGATCTGTCATTGAGTGTCCTGCAAAGTACTTCCTTGATATTCATATCTTTCCAGCTATCCGCTGCTTCACAGCATGCCTTAAAAGGGTACCAGTTGACCATGAAATAACCTCTAGATGTAATTTCAGCCTCTATATTTATACCGTTCAAACGTTTTTTTTTGCTTTCTTTTTATGCAATAAAAATCGAATTTCTCATTTGGAAAAATGAATTTGTCTTTGAAAAGATGTTCAAGGTGAATGTCAACGTTAAATCCAAGGTTATCAGTAGATGCGCATAGCCGGGATGTAGCGCACAAGTTCTCAGATAAAGAAGAAAAAAAAAAAACGGTGGCCAGTAGTGGGCACGTTACGAGGTTGCTTGCCTTGTTCTCCAAAATTTACGGTACGACCATAGAAAAACCCTAGACAGAGAAAGACTGCTTAAAAATCTATTCTATTCTCTGTTTGAGACAAAACTACTCATTGAAAACACCCAGACTTGAACAAAGACCAGGTACATTTTTGTTTGCAAGAAAAGTATGGGAAAGATAATAAAATATAAAGATATACTAAAGTGATGTACCCTCAGAAATTTAACCTTCTTCTAAGATAAAGTTACGGCAGCTCAAAAATTAAACAAACAACAAACTTCTTCAGGACATCCATTAATGTACGTGGTCCGACGGTATAAGGTTAAAAGACTGAAGACTAAAATCCCATAAGAAAATGGACGGAGTAGCACCCAAACCAAACCAACTAAACGTAAAATAGTATATAAAGGGGGCCACAAACTGGTGTACCTAGAATCTGGAGGTTTAACAAATGCCGCTCACACCACAATCTCATGAGAAAGGTGACTGACACGAAACACCTAACTTTATATAGGAAGGTTCAATGAGTGGCCTTGAAGAAGATATGTTTGACAGAAAACCAAGTAACGGAGAAAAACCACATATTTTTTTTCCAACACGATACTGAATCACGGAGAAAGAAAGATATAATACCTGTGGAATTATACAATCAATAAGCTATGAAATTTACCATAAGAAAACCATTGAAAAGAGTTTGGCTTAGGAATGAGAACTCCACCATTAATAAAGAGAAATTCAGATTACTAATAAGTGATCAAGATAGTAAAAAAAGGGTTATGTGATTTTGGCAAATGATATTTTTTTTTTTTTTTTTTGGCTTTAGGACCTAATCCA